TAGTAATGACTGTGTAAAGAAAGCAGTGGAGCAGGAAGCCCACTGAGCCCCATGGGAGCACAAAGCAATTCAGTCATATTATAAAAATATTGAAGCACACCCCCAATATCAGGCAACAGGACAGATTTTAGGCAACCAGAATATCTGCTTAGTTCCAGCTGGGATTTTTGTTCTGATAGAAAAACAACACACTGCCTCACTTATTGCTTTTGGAGCCAATCTAGAGAATAAAATGCAAAATATGTGACATTTCCAAGCCTGTATTACCCCCAGACTGTAAGCAATAGTACGCTCCAGGCAGATGCAATTTTACCCTTACCATCACTCACACATGTACTTGCAGCTTGGACCCTGTGATCACTCGCTCCGCCGACCCAGAAGCCAAATTCACATCTGTACTCTTTGCTAAGAACACCGACTGCCTTCTGGTGGGAGACAGCAGAGGAGAAGTCAGTGTGTTTGAGCTGCAGGACCTGGCTGCTTCCAGCAGCGCCGAGGTACGACTCCTTGGGAAGAGGCAGCGGTCCTCAAATCTGACATCTGGTACCTCTCCAGACGGGGGCTGCTGTTACAGAACTTAGTTGAAAATGTAGCTAGTAGGCATGATCGGATACAGGTAGGTGACCAGATTAAAAACTGACAGGATTTCTGCTCTTCTGCATGCCATGCTGACAGAAACGTCAACAGAAGGAACAGGTCAGTCAACTTCAAACTTCAGCTTTCAGCCGACTGCACAGAGGCTCCCCACATCTGCAGCTGGGAGGGCCGGGGTGGGAGGCACAGCCCCACACAAAGGCAAGGGCAGCGGACCAGCAGGATGCCGTTCCCTGCTGGCGAGGTAGGGGCGAAATGCCCTCTCCTGGCCACCAGCACGACAGCCTCAGCTCAACGGCGTCGGCAAACCCACCAGCGTTGGTGGCCCTGCATTACCCTCACTGCTTCAGAAGCCACTACTAATCCTCTTGAGTTGCTCTCTGGGCAGGAGAGGAAGAAGTAAAGCTATCTCCATTTCACTGCATTTCAACTAGGTTCTCTTCCTCTCCTGCCACTGCAAAACACTGTCAGCAACTGACTGAAATCAGCTGTGAACCCCCTGTGTCTGCTTTTACTCCCACCAAACACTGGCAAGCATAAATCAGTGCTGTTTTACACCAAAGCTCCCCTGGGCCTTCCTTGCATGGTCCATTGCACAGAAAAGCAGGTTGATCCCCCCTGCAGGATCTATCTGTGCCTGAGCTGGAGCCCCAAACGAGGTTCTGGAGCCTAATGAACTTGGTCCTTTCAGCTTTGCCTTACTGGCCTTGCATTCCCAGTTCATAAAATAGGACCTGTACTTCTTAAAATCACTTCTGAGTTTCTTTTTCTCACCTCTTGTTTTACAGGTTGATGCCTTGAGTGATGTAATCGGTCCAGCTCTATTTCCAGTAGCTAAATGATTGCACTTCTCACCTGGTAAACAGTAGGAAAGGTTTTTTTTAGCATTATCACAAACTGTTCAGTGCTTTTAATTCATTAGCTTTTAGATTTGAAACCATACTGGTTAGAGACACCTTTGAAATGCTTGAAATTTTCCACAGGAAGTCCCCCTTGTTGGATGGTCAGCCTGTCGTACCAGTGCACAGATGAGCTCATAGAAAGGCCCCATTAAAGGCTTTTCTCCTTGGGTTACTCAAAAAAAACCCCACACAAACACAACAGAAATGCCCCAAATCACCTCCTGTATTGGCTACTTCATCAGGAACCAGCATGCACCCTAAGTCCATCTTAAGTCCTGGAGTATGGCTGCTTGCCATCCATTTCTCCCCTTGTGAAATTACACAGCAAACGAATGGACTTCTCATCAGGTCCTTCTTGTCTGCCCTCCCCAAAACTACAACTGAGTTTGAAAGCTGAGCTTTGATAGCATCCAGACTGCCCCAGCCAGGAAGAATTAGAGACCAGCTTTTTCAACCTGACCAATTTGAACAACGCCACAATTTAAATGGACTTCTGCAGCTTTAGAAGGCAGATCTCTGCTTCTAGAGACCTCTCCACTGAAAGACACGGGTAGGCTGAGGACATAACCTGCAGCTCTTCTATCTTACAGCCACAGAAGAGGTCCCCCATCATAGGAGCTCCGTGCAGTGCTCTGCCCTCAGCAGACACATGCAATAGCTGCTCCTGGAAGAACTACGTGGCTAAACGTATATTTTACATGCACAGAGCATCCAGATTTTCTCATTAGCCTCACAATAAATGCCCAACGTTTAAACACATCACTGAAGTTACAGATCATTTGGGATGCATTACCACGCACTTTCCCTCTGCATTCTGTGCATTTTACAACCAACATCCACGCTTACTTTTCCAGGGTGGGCATAAAACGAATCTGTGCGTTTCAACAAAAGACATCCATTAAGGTGAATCACGCGTTAATCACTATTACAAACCTGATCAAAGCATGCTGTGTATTTTTTACCACTGGTTATGACTGTTTACCGATGCTACTGGTAAAAAATGAGCTTTCAAGGCTGTAGCACACCATAACTCACCCTGCACATCGTGTAAACTAATTAACTGTAACATTACGGGGCTGGAAAAACACTCGTGGTGCTAGGAAGTGCTAAGGATCATACGTTTTGCTCTTAAATACGGAATTTCTGACCTCATAATTGCCCAATTTTCTCTTTGAGGCATTTTATTGCAGGATATTTTTTTTAATCAGAGTTTACAGCAACAGTAGCCAACAACATCCAGGCAGGGCTGGGCCGCTCCGATAGCACAACTGATCCACTGACCTCGAGTCCCAGAGCTGCTCCACTCAGGCTTTCAGATACTTATCAGTAGGAAAAGGCTGGCAGGATGCTGATCCTTAGCTGTTCTGTGCTTTCCCAGTGCCGTTGCCCCTCTTCTCTGTATCTTTTGAGTAAGGCCCTCTGTCCATAGACAACTGCAAAGCAAATTGCTGTGGGTGCAGGGTGTGGAACAGCAACAGCATCTCCACAGCTTGCTACAGCAAACTCACTGTGCTCAAAGCCCCACGTGCTCAGCACACAACGCCCTTCTGCCCAGCTCTGCCTGCACAGCACAGGGGCTGCCTGGCTCTCAGCCTGCTCTGAAGTACGACGCACAGCTGCCAGCAGCACGAGGGGATGCTCAGCAGGAGGACGAAGCAGATGGGCCCATGGAAGAAGTCAATTCCCATCTTTATTTGGGATCACAGACAGAGCAAGGCCCCACATCACATGGTGGCAACGGGCTGCAAGGGAAGCGCATGGAGATGAAACCCATTACCTACAAAACACATCATAAACATTTTTGCAGCACGTATGCATTAACAGCACTGATGTAAGCCCGTTTCCTATAAACATGTTATGCTACAAGTATTCCTACTGTAAAGCAGTTACACAGTCCTAAGATGTCTTTAACACCCAAACAAACCCCCGAGGCACTTCAAACATCACCACAAACACAATTGGTTCTGGCAAACATGAGCTCACCCTGCAGCGAGCTGCTGCCCAGTGGAGCGGATGGGCCACCCCTATAAACAGGAGCTCCCAGCAGCATTCCCCACCTCAGCCCCACACAGCACTCCTTCACTGCCCTTCCAGCCCCAAAACCCAGCATGAGGAGCACACTGTTGGCCCTGGCTGCGCTCTGCCTGCTGGCTGTGCTGCACAGAGCTGAAGGGGAGGGCAATGCTGTGAAGCTCTGTGGGAGAGACTTTGTCAGAGCCATCGTCTTCACCTGTGGCGGCTCCCGGTGGAAGAGGGATCTGGCTAATTACCAGTACCTGTTTGGTGAGTACTAATTAATGCATGACCTATCACCCCGTTATCAACTAATGCACGACAGGCTCACCCCAGTGCTGGGTGTGCCTGATTGTGAGGGGGCTCAGGAGGAGCAAAGTAGCAGCAGGTGCTGAGCTGGGAGGTGCATCCCAAGCACAGCAGCACAGCAGCACAGCTTCATGTATGTGAATATGTGCTCTGGGTTTCCTCATGGCTTCCTTTCTTAGCTCCACATGCTGTTTTGCTGAATGGAAAAGGTGCCATAAGTCATTGCAAGGAACTGTGAGCTAGGTCCAAGGTTATGGCAGGACAGCCCTGTGCTATGATACGGACGTGTCACACGGAAGCCTTGCTGCAGTTGGCACGTGTTCCACCTCCAGCTCGAGCAGCACACATCTCTTTCCCACTTTAATCCAGAAAATACATGAACAATTTGAGAATATTAGGATTAAGAACATAGAATGTGAGACGTGTAATCTGCAATAACCTTCCCACGCTGTTGTGTACTCAGCTATTGCGTGCACTGCTGGAGATCTGTGCTCTGATTACAATGACTAGAGAAAAGAGAAGATACATGAGGCAGATGACAGGAGCAGGGGCTTCCCACATTTTCCGTGCAATAACGTCTGCCTGTTTAGACAATACTGTTGTAGCAGCAGCTTTCAACAGAAAAACCAATGCCATCAATGCAATGTGCTACCAGAGAGCAGGAAGCACCGCTGCTGAATGAAGCCCCTGTAGCTGTATGAACTCCAGGAGTTTGTGCCCAGATATACCGCCGTGTATAGAATGCACATCACTAGAAGCACAAGTGAACATCCAGCAGTTTGGGTGCTGGATTTGTTAGCATGCCCGTGTTCCAGGAAACCACCAGCTGTTCCAGTTCCATCCTCTGAGGGACGTAGAGCAGCAGCAGGCTGAGAGGCACGACTTCTAACCGTCAGCTTCTGTTCTATGCAGCAGAGAGCAGCGAGAGCTCCCTGTCCTCGTCCCAGGAGAGCGGCGGTTCCTGGGAGCCCTCCCCATTCGCAGCACAGGGGCTGGGGGCTGCTGATGAGCAGAGCCAGGAGGACAGAGCCCAGGAGGAGCGCGACGTGAAGCGCAGCAGGAAGGTGGCCGTGCTCAAGAAGCGCGAGGTGGCCAAACTGCTCACCACGTCCTGCTGCAGCGTCGGCTGCAGTGAGAGGGACATCAGCCTGCTGTGCTAACGCAGCCGCTGCTGGGCAGGTCGCAGGCCGTTGCTTGAAGGTATTAAAACAATCATGACATAAAGCACAGTTCTTGTATTCTTTTATTCTTTATGCGCAGGGGCAAAGGCTGAGCGGTAGGAGCTGCAGTGACAACTCGGGTGGGTTTGTTGCCATTCTACAAAGTATTGCAGTGTTTTAGCATTGCCATTTTAGAAGTGAGTCCTCCCATCTACCTCCTGTCTTTGCACATAAGAAGCTGTAACACAGCAAGCTACTGTGTGCGTTCCACAAAAATCCAAGAGCAGCTTTTGGACGTGGGCATCAACGGTGAGACAGGGGTAGCAACAAGCACCTGCTGGTACCAAAACGAGAGCAGCACCGAGCACATGCTCTGTGCAGGGCAGCACAGCAGGGGAAGTGCTGCAGCAGGTAACACAGTGACCCCGCTGTCTGTCCTCAAAACACACAGGAGGAGTCATGATTTATTTCCCATTTACCTGACACCCTGCCCAGTGGGCAGTCAATTTGCAACTGGACAGATGGGAAATATATTTCTGAGCTCAGAGAGATGCATTTCTCCTGTTGTCTATGGGGAGGTAGCAGCTGAGAAAGACCATTTCTTTTTTAATTTTTTCACTTCACTCAGACACCTTAAATAAAAGGGGCCAGACATGTCAGATCAGTATAATCCAAACATGATTCATTTAAAGGCACTTGATTTGGAAAACGATGGGACAGCCAGCCATCTCCAAGAAAACTCTCTGCCTTCTGCATGGCCACACAATGGCACCCTGCATGAGCAGGGCAGTGATTGCACGGGGCCAGGGCTGAGCTGCCCCATCGTGTGGATCGGTTCCAAACGCATTTGTTTTGCCTTCTAAAAACCATTCTGATTTCTTGAGGGATCAGAAGCTCACAGGAAATTCAAGGAGAAAAAGCTTTACAGGGACACCCAGTGCTGAAAGCAGCTAAAGGTGCAAAATTGCATCCTACAGAAAATCACTAACCAGGGAAAGCCGTGGGGAATACAATGATAGCTCAGGGGAACCACGCTTCTGAGCAGCTGAATGCTGCCTTGGTCCTTCACTGCTGCTCTCAGCAACAGGAGTCAGACTGAAATTCATTTCTCCTGCTGCTGAAAGCTGCGACCTCGCTACTCAAAATAGACAGCATAGACAGTTGCAAGAGCGAACAGCGAAGTGTTTTGGAAGACATAGGATGAAAACGTATCCGTGGTGGGATCCCACAGGCACCTGCTGCCGATCTGCATGCCCTGCCCGTTCAGCTGCCCAATGTGTGTCACCACAACGATTTTGTACCTCGGCAGCACCAGGTCCTTCACCCGAGCTTTGATCACCTGCAGGAGAGAGGCTGTGCTGGGACTCACCCGGTGAGCTCTGCGCAGGGGGTGCTCAGCAACGGGGTGTTCTGGGATGGAGACTGCCAGCACGGCACTGCTCAGCCCTTGTGACAGTCCTGATGACAACCATAGAACTGTTTGAGTTGGAAGGGACCCTCAAAGGCCATCTGCTCATGGCAGGGACACCCACAGCTCCACCAGGTGCTCAGAGCCCCATCCCTTACCTTGGGTGTGTGCAGGGCTGGGGCACAACTGCCTCTCTGGGCACCCTGCAGCAGTTCAAACTCATTGGTTTTGAGGCAGTGAGCGCGTGAGAACCAACACTTCCATTGCTAAGAGCAGGCACGGCTCTCTGCTTCACTACAGGAACACAAGGGCAGACATTAATCAAGAAGACACCGCAGGTGGGCAGTGTTCTTGATGAGGTCACTTCCCTGTGGGCATTCACACTGACAGGCAGCTCTGCTCGTCCTGCGCTGCCGAGCTCCAGGGCCAAACCAGCTGTAAAGCTGAAGGCTCAGGACAGCAGCACAAAACCACAGAATGTGGAGCACTGCGTCCAGTTCTGGGCTCCCCAGTACAAAAAGGACAAGGATCTCTTGGAAAGAGTCCAGCGGAGGGCCACAAGATGGTGAGGGGCCTGGAGCATCTCTCCTATGAAGAAAGGCTGAGTGAACTGGGTCTGTTCAGCCTTGAGAAAAGAAGACTGAGAGGGGATCTGATCCAGGTCTATCAGTATCTAAGGTGTGGGGGGCAGAATGGTGAGGCCGGACTCTTTTCAGTGGTGAGTGGAGACAGGACAAGGGGAAACGGCCAGAAACTGCAGCATAGGAAGTTCTGCACCAATGTGCGCAAGAACTTCTTTACAGTGAGGTGAGGAGCACTGGAACAGGCTGCCCAGGGAGGTGGTGGAGTCTCCTGCTCTGGAGATATTCAAGACTTGCCTGGATGCCGACCTGTGCGACCTGCTGTGGGGAACCTGCTTTGGCAGGGGGTTGGACTCGATGATCTCTGGAGGTCCCTTCCAACCCCTACAATTCTGTGATGCTGTGATCCCAGCATGGCTGGGCTGGAAGGGGATACAAAACCCCACGTGAGGGCTGGGTGACTCCTCCAGCTGCAGCTGCCCACGGCCGCGGACGGGACACCCGCAGCTCTGGGCACTGCTGGGGTCTCGCTGCCTCTGGGTGAAGAACATCCGCCACGTCCTTCCAACCCAGGCACGGCGCAGGGGCAGCAGCGCTCTCGTCCCACCCGGCGCTCACACACACACACACGAGCCACCGCGCAGCGAAGCGGCGACCTCCCGCCCCTCTCCACCAACGCAGGCGGCAAAACACCGCACGGCCGCTCCCGGGGAACCTCGACCACCCAGCGGGACCGCGGCCCCACGGCTCAGCGCACCTCGCTGACGGTCGCGGCCATCTCCCGGCACGGCCCCGGCTCGTAGCGCCGCTCCCGCAGGCAGCCCTCCAGCACGGCCTTCAGGATGGCGTCCACCGCCGCCACCGGGAATCGTTCGGGGGGACCTGGAGGGAGGGAACAGTGAGCAGCGACGCCTCCCGCGCCTTCCCCGCACCGCGGGCCCCTACCCGCAGCGGGATGCGTGCCGGCCCCGCCGCGCTGCTCGGCCCGGGAGGCGCTGGGCCGACGGGAGGAGAGCGGCGAGCAGCCCGAGACGCGCCGCATCCCGGCAGCGGCGGAGGGGAGGCCGAGGGGAAACGGAGGGCAGCGCCGCCCAGACACCGCCGGCAGCCGCAGCCCGCCCCTCTGCCATCCCCCCGCGGCTCCCCGTCCGTCCCTGCGGCCACGCCGCTTGGTCTTCATGTTCGGCACAGAGCCGTGCTGGATCCCCGTTGCCTACAAGGGTCTTCCCAGACCTTGCGTGTATTTGAAGCCGTGGCCCTCGTGTGTACCCACAGCCCCCGCTGGCCCCTAGATGCCCCCACTGCCCCCATGTATCCCCACAAGCACTGCATGCCCCCATTGCCCCCATGTGATCCCACAAGCACTGCATGCCCCCATTGCCCCCATGTATCCCCACAAGCACTGCATGCCCCCATTGCCCCCATGTGATCCCACAAGCACTGTGTGCCCCCATTGCCCCCATGTATCCCCACAAGCCCTGCATGCCCCCATTGCCCCCATGTGATCCCACAAGCACTGCATGCCCCCACTGCCCCCATGTGATCCCACAAGCACTGCATGCCCCCATTGCCCCCATGTATCCCCACAAGCACTGCATGCCCCTATTGCCCCCATGTATCCCCACAAGCACTGCATGCCCCCATTGCCCCCATGTGATCCCACAAGCACTGCATGCCCCCACTGCCCCCATGTATCCCCACAAGCCCTGCATGCCCCCATTGCCCCCATGTGATCCCACAAGCACTGCATGTCCCCGCAGCCCCCACAACTCCCCACAGCCCATTAGATGACCCACAGCCCCCACGGGTCAGTTGGAATAGATGATCTCAGTGGCCTTTCCCAACCTTAATGATTCAATATCCCCATGGTCCACACAGGTCCCCACATTTCTCTGTGTGCCAACCCCAGTCGCAGCCCCATCCCTGAGCTGGGTCACATTGCATGGCCCCAGCAGCAATGCCATTTGAGACATTGGCAGCCCGTGGTCCTCTTGTTCCCCCCCCCCCCCATGATTCTCCTGCCTGTGACATCAAAACACACACAAAGAAAGCTCTGTTTTCGGGGTTCTGTTTATTTTCAAGGGGGGAAAAAAAAATCACATTTAAATTGCAACTTAAGGGGGTGTTTCATGTGGTTCTCATGTATAGGATTAATAAACTTTGTTCTGACGTGGGGGTTTATTTGTTGCAATATTTTGCGTGGTCAATAATTGCATATTCGAGATTTGGTGGAGTGGATGATGGGGAGAATGGAGGAAAGACATTTATAAAAAACATTATTTACAAAAATGATATCCACGTATCCGTATCCTAATCTATAAGGCAAGTAACATTTAAAATATGTTGTCTCATGATTATCTTCGACAAGTCAATACAACACATTCATATTACCAGTGGTCAAACACAGAGCTTTGCTGCAGTAGTCCGTGTGCAACAAACCTGTACGTCTCTTACAGCTCTTCTCTGAGAACATTGGGTAAGCAGCAAAGTTTTCATCACAGACTAAGCAGTACCTAGGCCATCGGAGACTAAAGGTATAATAGATCCCATTGCACGTCGAGGCAAAAAAGGCCAGCCATTTGTTAACTTATTTAACTTAAATCTTAAAAATAGACCTGTGTCTCTTCATCCACAAATATTTATAAACATTTTATACACGAGGGATTTCGTAAAACGATAGAGCTTCTGGCGGGCCGTGCCCTGGGGATCCCAATTGGAGGCTGGGGGTCCCTCTGAGCTCAGCAGCCCCACGTCCCCCACTGCCCTGATGCCATTCCCATCCCAAATCACCACTCCCTTATGGACACGCACACACCACCAAAGCAGCTGGGCATCTTCATCGGCCCCAGAGCACTCTGGATGGAGCTGGAGCTGGGAGAAAGGGGTGGGTTTCAGATACCCCTACATGGGTTATGGGCAGGATTCTAGCATGGCATTCCCACGGTGACCTCCTGCACGTCAAGAGAGAGAAGTCTAACAGAGCAATAAGGTGCTCCAAGTGCCTGTAAAGCTGCCAGGGCCCAGCTGTTCCTACAGGGCTTTGTCTCTCCTTGCAGTGAAACAGGGCTGAGAACAACTGCAGCCATAGGAGTCCTCAGCTCTACAAGGATTCCTTTCCTTGCCAGTTTGTGAGAGGGAAGAAGAAAAGAGTAATTCTGGTGATGAAATGAAGTCTTTAAGACCGTGATTTTTTCTGTAGGGAACGTGCAATGCAGTGATGTTCATAGAAAGAATCGCTTGAGCTGGAAGGGATCCTCAAAGGCCACCTGGTCCCACTCCCTGCACTGAGCAGAACACCCACAGCCCCACAGGTGCTCAGAGCCCCATCCCTGACCTCGGGTGTCTCCTCAAATGCCATCGTTTTCGGTCACAGTATGCTTCAAAATGAAGGTTTGTAAAGAAGCAGAGCTAAGGGATGAGCGCACAGCAGCCCTACAGCAGAACACAGGAGCAGCATTCAATGGGGAGGCAGCAGCTAAGAATGAACCCAAACCCTGTGCGAGGCATTGGCAACACCACCATGAGGAGGACCTGACCCACAGCACCCGTTTGGGTCCCAGCAGTGAGCGGCACCGGGAGGAGGAGAGCTGGGCTGAGCTTTGGGTTATTTGGTTTTCCTCTTTTTTTCCTTAAAAAGCATTTAAAATCCCAATGCTAATGTAAACAGCTTGTCTTTCAAATGAAATATAAAGTAAAATATCTATGTTCTGGTCATATTTACACTATAAAATCCCTATTTTCGGGACTATGGCATAGGTGTCCTCTGGAAGCATGAGTTTATAACAATTGTACACAGCATGAACTGATGGGGCAGAAGCTTCAGGTTCTGCCCTCTGTCAGGAAGGGGTGGCTCACATCATTGGTACGTATTTCCATGTCAGAGGGGAGCAAATAGCTGGGCAGGGCAGGGCGCTCCATCCAGGAGTGCCGGCGGGTTTGCTTCCAAATCTGTATGGATTTGGGTATAACCGAGTCGTGCTTTCCTCCTGCATTCATACTTTGTATGATCGTGCACACAGAGCGCCCATCCTGCAGCACACATCCCAAACCAGGAGCCATCCCAGAGCTGAAGCAGCTCCAGTCATTCCCATTTTCCTTTAGGTTGGGCACGGCTTGCTGTCTTCTCCTTTGCTCCCCATTGAAAGAGCTCTCCACCCCTGCACAGCTCTTGAAGGTTTTCCCATCTCCATGAAACAGCTGCTCCCAGTGCTGCTGCTTTTGGCAGGGTCAGGTCGTGCTGCCTTCATTTCTCAGTATTTCTGTATAGAGATATCATTTTTCCCTGCCTAATGGGTAAGAAGGAAAAGCACGGGGCTGCACACCCTTACAGCACTTCCTAAACCTGCGGGGCTTTCAGAAAGCGGAGGAAATGAATAGAAGAAGCAAGCAAAGGATGGCGGAAACGCAACCAAAAATCCGGAGCCTGCTTTGGGGATGCATCCCCAAAACTGTGAGCTGTGAGCTCCACCTGCACAGAAACACTGCTCTGCACGTCAAGCAGCTGAACCTGAAGATGGAGAGCTTTATTCACCGCCATGAGACACGCTGTGGGCAGGAGGGGAGTGAAGGAGCTCCCTCGGTGAGGCACCCCCCATATCAGCTATCTGCACCGAATTTAAATCGTATATATTGACAAAATGTAATCTACCTCTGTAAGCATTGTGCCATTCAACAGTACTACTATTAAATTTATATACCACGGTTTAAATTACATCCATTTCATGAATGGTAAAAGGCTAAAACTCAAGTGTCTAACTTCCAAAATACGGCCTTACTGGAATGAGTACAATTTACAAATACAATAATTACATTTTAAAACCATTAACAATGTTACATCTAGAAGTAAATACTGTAGGACTGGTCAAGACGGTGTTTTCTGAGGAAAAATTCTGAAAGTCATCGACACTTCCAAGAGAAATGTCCCAAGTGCAGGATTTAGTTCGTTTTCCTTAAGCTGTAATTAAAACCCGTTCCGCTCACAGTAGTCCTTGGTTATTTTAAACGTGTTTCCTTCAGTTATCGGCCAAGTATTTACCTGGGAACGGGACCAGACATCAGCCAGGCTCCTCCACCCACCGCCTCCATCCCCACGCAGCGCCCTCAGAGACCCCCACAAATGGGAAACGGCCCCGAGGGGGGGCATTTCAGGAGGGGTTGGCACCTACCTGCCGCGAACCTCTTCTTGATGAGCGAGAAGCGGTAGCCGGCACCGACGAGCTCGATGTCACAGCTGGAGAGCGTGCTGCCCTCGCTGGTGAACTGCACGGCCAGGGGGGCTGGGGAGCTGGGCCCCTCCGCCAGCTGGAAGCGGGCCAGCAGCGAGCCCACGCCTGCAGGAGAGCAGCGTTAGAGCCAGCACTCCCTCTGCGCTTCCACCCCGTCCTTCTGCAACACCAGCTCCGGTTGGCAAAGCAGTCCTGATGATACCCTGCGTTTTCCAGGCTCTTTGCTCCCTAATCCCAAATAGCATCCTCTCCCTGCAAGCACCCGCAATTTGTGGGTGCCCCGTCCCGTTCAAGGCCAGGTTGGATGGGGCCCTGGGCAGCCTGGGCTGCTATTAATTGTGGAGGTTGGTGGCCCTGCCTGTGACGAGCAGCTTAGAGATTCATCATCCTTGAGGTCTTTTCCAACCCGGGCCATCCTGTGACTCTGTGTGCAGACAAACCCAACGCCTGCTCAAAGTACCCACCGCCACAAGCACGCGTGTTCACAGCATTACCTCCATTCTCCGACTTCTGAGAGATATCAGGGATCTTCCACAATATCCTCTGCTGCTCTGCGTTCCTGCAAACACACCAGGAAGAGCATTTCTGTAGGAAGCAGGGTGCTACACGGACCCCATCCAAACATTGCCAAAAGCACGTGCTCAGGGCAGCCCACGCTCTAGATCTTTAATTTTGGGAATGTGGCTTTGGGTTGGACCCAAGCGAGAAAACATCACTTGGGGTTGAAGAGTTGAGTCGCCCACCCCATCCTGTGTAAGAGCTCAGTGCTGGGTTGGGTGCTGGATTCAATGATCCTCAGTGATCCCTACCAGACAGCGGGTGGGAGCACAGCCTGCAGCTTGGTTACTCCTCCATCAACGGGGACGAGGAACTGGACGTTGTTTAGAGCTACCGGTGTGGTCATTGCCTCTGTATTGTATTTGTAGTCGATGCGGAGGTCAGTGCTTGCAGGTTCACACCGCCAGCTCACTGCAAGGTTTAATGGAGTAGACTGAATACCCTGGGCAGATACCTTCCAAAATGACAGAAAAAACATTTAGTTTCTGTAGGGGTGGAGGGAGAAATCCCATTTTACAGACTCAGTCATTGCAATGCGTTTTAGAGGGAACAACACCTCACATTCACATAGAAGGTTCATGCTGGGCCCCCACTCGAGTGCTGTACCCCAGCACAGCATGCCCCCACCTCCTCTGCGCTATGGAAACCCCACCTCCTGCACACCATATCACCTACAGCACACATTTGTGGCAGAATTCAACCTGACAAAACGCCATACCTGGTACTTGAGCATATCCACATTGTAATAGGTTGCTTGTGGTTTCTGCTCCGATACCTTCTTGAGGTGCGTCATCAGGTTTGGCATGTTGACCCAGAACTCCTTCGTGCTGGCATCGCTCTGCGTGCTGTCACTGCCAGCAGTGACATAGAAACAGAAGATCACTCAGGTTGGAACAGACCTCTGAGATCCTCCATCCAACCCCAGCCCACCCCCCTTGCCCACATCCCTCAGTGCCACATCCTCACGGCTCTGAACACCCCCAGGGATGCTGACCCCACCACAGGAGCTTCCCATGGGCTCTTCCATTTTACAAGCAGGATCTGAACTGAACAGAGCGGGTAGAAAATGAGCAAAACCCACTGTGTGCTGCTTGGCAAAGGGGCTGATCTCGAAGGAAGTGCTGCAGCAATATTTAGGGGCTGAGAATTTCCTTCTCAAAACTTGCCCAGACCCCAAGGCAGGTGGTTTTGCAAGCAGCCTGCCCTTGTAAAGAGCTGTCTGGCCTGGCTGGCAGCACGGGTGCGAGTAGGGGCTCACCAGCAGAGGAGCTGGGGGTTTGGCAGGACGTGCTCCAGCCGGTTGTAGTTGAGCACTCGGAAGGTGAGCACTGCCGGAGAGGGGTTGTTGGCAAAGTGTCGGGTGATGCCTGCCGGGAAGGACAGCACCATCTCCCCCGTGATCTTCACGATGCACCTGCAGCGCCGAGCACAGAGACCCAGGGGGAGGAAAGGGAGGGCTCAAAATGCAGCACAGGATGGACGGCGTGGTGAAAGCCCCCCCCTTCCCACCCCAGGCTCCCACACCCGTGCCCAGACCCCACGGCCGGCACCTACTTGCTGGGGTCGGCTCCCTTGAAGTAAGCATTGACGGTCTCAGTGAAGGCGGCAGCGACGGGCAGGGTGTCCTGTGCCCCCATGGTGAGCGGGCTGGGGCCCCGTGACGACCCTACAACAGAGCAGAGCCTCTGCTAGTCAGCTGCAGGATGGGGACCTGCACCCACCCCAGGGTGTACCCTGCTAGAGCCCGAGCCCAGCATGTGGCTTTGTGGGCAAAGGGTGAAAAGAAGAGGACCCCAAGGCTTTGTCTTAGGCTTGAAAATCATTTTGAAGTGATTCTTTTCCCCTTAAAAGACAAGCAAGGAAATGAGCAGAGGAGCCTCGCCACGAGCATGGGACATCAAGCCCTGCGTGGGGGTGGTTTGTGCAGATTTAGGTTTCCAGCCCCCAGCAGAGGCAGGGCAGTTTGGTGTCCCCTCTGCACTGAGCGGGATGCTCACCTCCTTACCCTGCAGCTCAGTGCGGATTCAAAGGGGCTGCACGAGGCCTGCCCACGGCTCTCCATGCACACTTGTAATACATGTAATACTGCTGCTTCCCTGCACAGCTCATGTATGACTCCAAGGGCTGCAAATCCACCAAGGGCTGCATTATGCCATGGTTAAGGCTGTGAAGCAGTAGCGATCTGGCCACATACATGACTGCTTGCAGCCTAGCCGTGGTGTATTGCAGCAAGAGGAGGACAGCAGCAGTGCAAGGGGAAGTCTGAAACTCTGAGGCATGCTGGAAATCCCCCAGCACTCAGGGCAGAGCAATTGAGAGCAACCAGCATGCAACTGCCTGCTGGTGCCTCACCACCAGCCCCAGGCAAGCTCTGTACCTGAGGAGAAATGTGCCCAGCGCAGGTCCTGTGGGCTCTGAGCCTCTGGGGACCAGTAAATGTCCCCAGGAGGTGGCCAGGAGCAGTGCTGCCTACAAACCACTGCCCCGCAGGCTCCAGCATGCCCACATTCTCCACAATGCACTGCTTTGCAATCTTGTACATCAAGTTCAACGCTAGGGTCATTCTGTCCCAAAAATGCATAACAAGTGATGGCAAAGGGTGAAATGCACTGTTCAGGAATGATTTCGCTTTGAGCATGCAAGCGCATGCAAGCTGCCAGCCCGAGCTGCTGCATGGGAAGGCAGCAGTGAGCAATGCCATGCAGCAGGTTGCTGCCAGCTCGTGCTGCCCTGCGAGCAAGCCCATCTCCCCTCTGCTGTCCTGCTGCCGGTGCCTGTGCCTGCTGGCTGAGGTCCTGGCTGGTGGCTCAGCCTCGTGGCATTGCAGCTTTCCTGCAGTGGGATGTGAGCGTGGGACGTTGGGATTTGGATGGTCTCACGGGAAATCTGTCAGTGAGATTACACCTTGAGTTCTGAGAGACTCACTGTAATGGCAGAGCATCAACACGTGGAAACACAGCTGCTCCCCCCCAGCAGCACAGGAGAGCCTTCCCCAAGGCTGGGATTTTCCTTTTGGAGCCCTAACGCAGCTCAGCAGAGCATTATCAGTGAACACAGCCACGCATCTCCTCCCGGCCAAACGCACAAGGAGCCCCAGGAGGATGCATGGGCTCAGCCTGGATAACGACGCTGTGCCAGCGGCGCACAGTGCACCCCGAGCTCTGCCGCAGCAGGATTTGCTGAGCCACTGAAATCACCCAGACTGGGTTCCCCAAAGGTTTCCTGCTGCCATCACTCACCCCGTAAACCTGGGTTTGTGCTGAACGTGCTCACCCCAGGCCCCGGCACAGAGGAAGGACAAAAATCCTTTGGACGCAACCGGCACCCACAGCTCTCACACCCTCCACTTCTCCCCATGAACCCCAGCACTATTCTAATAAATCCAGAGAGTAATCAGCTTTCTTCCACAAAAACACTTTGACTTAGAATCGCGGGATCAAGGTTGGAAAAGGCTCCTCTGCTCCCCAGTGCCTGACCCAGTCCTTGTCCCAGTGCCTGACCGCTCCTTTTGGAGAAGGAAGACTGATTTAAGTACGTGCTATGGGGCCACTGAGCTTTTAGCCCCTGCTTCTGGAGTCATTTTTGGATGCATTTCATTGTGGTCAAGGAATGTGATAATGCAGGAGATCAGCATCCACCCAGCAGGGCTTCGGAGCCCACTGGGTTCATTTGCTGTTATCCATTGGGAGCGGGGCGGGTTTCCCATCGCAGTGCTGTCACACTCAGAGGTGGTTTGACTGACTGCTGCCTGAATGATGGTGCAGAATAGAAGGGAAGGAGCGAAGCCATCCGAGCACAGTCCAAACGTCACCAGTACAGAAAAATTACCCCACGGTACGCAAATACTCTGCCCAGAGCCAAAAAGAAACAACAGCAGTAAAAGGAACCCCAACCAGAAACACTGCCACAGTGATCCGCAGAACTTCAGATCCAACAGCCAAAAAGATCGGATGATCATTACAAAGCCAAACCACACCAATCCCCCAGCGTGTTCACAGGGCTGTGGGCCCAATCCAGTGAGGAGGAGGAGGAGGAGAGAGGACAGGAACCCAGCTCAGGGAAATAGAAAGACCCAAATGAGCACTGGAAGGAAGGGGCCAGCATCTGCCCCGATGGAAAAGGCAAAGAGGAGAAGAAGCAGCAGCACTGCCCCTCACCAACACCGACCACTGCCCAGTGCTGGCATCACCCTCACCAAAAGCACTTTGCTCAAGCAGCTGAGCAGCCCAGTCTGGCTCTGCACACCCTGTCGTGGGACCAGGATTCGTCGGAATGCAAGAGCCATGGGGATCCTGGAGCAATGGGGAACCTGGAGCCATGCAGCCACGTCCCCGGCAGCCCCAGCTGCAGGATGCTCATTCCCTTGTGCTGGGTGGCAGGGCAAGAAAGCTCAAAGATGACAGAATCAATTTGATGAATCAAAAAAAATAATAATAATAAAAAAATTTCTGAGTGTTTCTAAGCACCTGGTTTTGCTCAGGACTTGCCTGCTGAAGCCCTGCCCTGCGGGTAGCAAGCAGGATAACTGTAGGGGATGGCTTTACCTGGCTGGGTCTCTGCATGTGCAATGCCTACGGTTTCCCAGGGGAGCCACAAGCCCAGAGTGACAGTCCTATTCCTGGCAGCACCGGTGCTTTTGGAGCAATTCCATGGCATTCAGCCCAGGGACTGAGATATTTCCTTTTTTTCTTTTTTTTCTTTTCTTCTTCTTTTTTTTTTTAAAGTAAACCAACAGGGAAACAGCTCACTGATGAATAGCATCAACCCAACCAAAGCAGCCATAGCACCTGGCACAGCACTGGGCCGCAGCATCGGGGAGCCCGGGGCAGCGAGCGAGCGGGGAGCGAGCGGCAGCTGAGCCTGCGCACTACTTACCTTCGAAAGTCAAATAAAACTTTCCTCTGTCAAACCAAACGAGGGAAGGCTGTTCATTCTCTGTATGGCCAGGAGGTGAAGCGGGATGGGGAAGGTTCAGGAGAGGGAGAGAGAAGGACATAGAGTGAGTCACAGAGCAGGACATCCGTCTCGCTATGGGGCGGGGAGCGCAGCAAGCCAAGAGCGTGCGGGGCGGGAGCGGGCTCTGAAACTCAGGGTTTGCTTGGAGAACAAAGCAGGAAGCAAAGCTATGGAAGCCCAATGGAAGGGAATCTCTGCCCACTTGGAAAGGATTTCTCTTGTTGCCTATGGATGGAGAGGACTGGGTGCCTTAGACTGTGCCGATACTGCATCCCATGGGGATCTTGATGGGCATGACCAGGGCAGTGCGTACGACGGACTGCAGCACGGCGATGTGAATCTCAGGGCACACAACTCCATGTGGACACACACACATGGTGCAGCAGGCGCCTGACTGGAACTGTCACCAGTCAGCTGCACTCACACCACCCCAAAAGTGCTGGAGAAGAAGCAGCACCTGAAACCAACGCTGCTAAATTGATGGGTTCGGGGGAGAACGGCATCCTGAGCTGCTGAACAAACCCTTTCCTTTGGAACGTGCGAGGTGATGGCATGTCACCCCTCGGTGCCTTTTGTCACCAGGGCCACTTTCAGGCCACATTTCCCCAAAGTGCAGACATGGGCACTTTGTCATAGGGCATCCTCTTCTGACAACATGAATGGGAGAAACGCAAAGAAGAGAGTAATAAAGAAAAACAACGAGAAAACAAGTCCCAAGTGAAATCAAGCAGCATGATCTATCAACAAAAACAGAAAGAGAAGAATTTTAACGAGAAAAATAATTGCACGCTCACTGGCACAAACACAACAGCTTCTTTCTTCGCATTAAGTGACCGCACATGCAACCAGGATGGAAGCACACCAGCACAGCATGAGGGACACGCAAGAAAACCACCACTCCCAGCACTCTTGGATGAGCTCTGATGGACTTGGCTGCTCTGGGGGCATCGTGGTGGAGGTGAACATCCCCAGGGCATCATCAGACCCTACAGTGAGAGCACTGTCTGCTCTGACGAGGGGCTGCAGCCCATGGGGCAAGGGGAGCATCGTGGTGATGCCTACCCCTGCCCGGGGCTTGGGGCTGGGATGGACACAGCGAGCAAAGACTGAGTCACTGCAAAACATCATGAAGAAGCTTAATTCATTAAATTATATGGGAAAGGGAAATATGTATATGTAAAAATGAGCACTTAGAGGAGATACTTCAAGCTCATCCCCGGGGGAACTCCACACAAGGGCAGGGCTGCTGGCAATGAGCACAGCCCAAACTTCATACCAACTCTCCTGCTGGTCTCCACCAGCTCCTTACTCAGTTGTCTTCCATCAAAGCCTCCATGAGTTTGCAGCAGCATGCTGTGCTGGAGCTGAAGAGATACACCTACGACACCTCCAGGGTGAAGCCCCAGTGGGATGGAGATGTGGGCGGGAGGCAGTGCTGCCATTCCCAGTGTCCTCACATTGGGAGATCCCATGGAATGCCTCACACCATTGCCAAGCACACAGTCACAAACAAATCTGTGTTGCTTTTCCAGACACTTCTTTCTCTAGCAATTTTCTCCTGCTCCTGTGGCAAGGGTCCCAGCTGCTGCCAGCCTGTGGCACAGCAGTGTCATGGGACATTCCCGCTGAACGCACCGGCACATCATCAGAACAGGACAACCAACAGGAAAAGCCATGGAAAGAAAAGGGAGAAGGGTGTGATCCTGGTCGAAATGGAGCTGCAGGAAGCGAGGGTGCAGGCATGGTGACAGGGACGGAGGCACAGGGGGAGGCAGCACCCCCCAGAGCACAGACCTCAGAGCTGACAGCCAGACACGGAGTATCTGCAGGTGCCCCATGCCACCCCATGGGTTGAGCAAGAAACGTGTTTCTGAGGATGCTTCCTCCAGAAGCAGCACCTTGTTATGATTGAAGATGTGTGAAGCAAAGGGATTCGAAGAGCCTTTGCCAAGACTCCATTTCCCACTCCCACTTTAAGGGGAAATGCATATTTCAGGCATTTGAAGAGATTGAGCAGTTGTTGCTTCCTAGCTTCCAGCCCCCCTCCCCTCCAGGGTATGAGCACCCCCCACAAAAAGCTGCTTTTGACCAACCTTATAAACCACAAGCATGTTCCGTGTTGCTTTGCGCTTAGTGATAACCTCTACCTCCCCCAAACACATACTTTCTATAACTGCTGGAGAAAGCCTCCATGACAACAACACCTTGAGGACCCTCCACATCCAGCTCCTGTCCCTTTTTGCATTTGAAAACCTGATTACAATGAGTGAGCTTGAACCCAAAGACCGAGCTAGCAAACCAAAAGGGGCTGGGCGCTCTCTCAAGGCCATTTGGAGGAAGGAAAGGTGAAAGAAAAGCAGTGCTGTAGGATTTTTACCAACTGTGGGAGTGGTGGCTGCGCTCAGGGAATTGGTGGAAGATATGGAAGAAGTACTTTCAGCACGGGCTAAAGGTGCTATCGGAGGAGGACTGGATGAGTGAATAGGAGGGCTAAAAGGCCTGGACTGGAGAAAAACATAAAATAACACAAGGTTAAAGAAAATACACACAGAACATTTGTATTAAACAAACAGAAGCTATTGCTGAAGATGTCACTGTGGTGCACCCCCTCCCGCTGACAGCCCGGGGCCCCCGTGGGGAGGGTTGTGTTTAGTGCAAGCAGCATCAGCAGGCATTGCCTTGATGCTCCCACCCCCACTTCCTGTGCTGCTTCACATCCCAGTGGCCCAGGCTTCATGCCGGGCACCCTATCCCTTTTGGCACAGGAATAACATTCCACCTTCTCTATACCTGCTAACCCCAGGCAGACCCCAACTCTTGCACCCCCCAGGGATGCAGCTCACTGCTGTTCTCCCACATGATTTATTTCTGTACATAAATAGCAACAAAAACTGCAAGCAGCCCCTGCAAATGCAAGCATGCTGCACCTACCAGGTCTGCGACGGAGGGCTTGCCAGGGGGCAGCTTGGGCCGGGATGGGGGCCGTGGTGGTGGGGGTGGTGGGGTGCTGCAGGCGGCCAGTGGTGTGCCAGGGCGAGCTGGGGACGAGGAGCCTGCAATAGAGATGGGGCATCAGCAGCACATCAGCACACAGACACTGCTCCCAGGAGCCGATGGGGAGGGGACGGGATGTTCCCGCATCAGTTCCCCCATGATGGTTGTTCCAGAGCAGCAGCTTTGCACAGCTGAGCATACCGTGATTGCTGCAGTACTTGTGGGGGTGACCCCAGTACCCAGAGTCTGGCATCTTTACCCAAGCAGGAGAAAATGATGAACTGGGAATGAAATCTCCACCTGCAACAGCTTTCGTTGTGCCAAGAGCTGTAGGGAAAGGGCACTTCTTCCCCTCCATCCTGATGGCTTCTGTCGGCAAGAGAAGAGGTTTGGACTCTTCTTCCTGAGTGTCCCTCCTCCATTTGTCTTGGTACAGCTCTCGTTGGGCTTCTGCAGCTCCTAGGGCAGGGCATGGGGCCACCGTGGGGTCAGTCCCAGCCATGGGAAGAGGAGAGGCCAGGCAGGGATGTGGCTTTGTCCCAGTGAAGAAGAACAAGGGTGGGAAGGGCAGAAAAGCAGATCTGCTGGGAGCACTGCCAACAGCCCAGCTCTCTGGGAGAGCTTCCGTGAAGAAGATGGTGAGGCTTTCATGGTCACTCTGGTCATTGGCAGCTGTGGCCATGCTGACTTTTTTTTTTGCCTCCAGACAGAAATTTTAAGAGATGCTTAAGAGAAAACCCAGTGGATCTCTTTGTTCCATGGATAACCTTCCTCCCAAGGTAAGTTTGTTGATATCAGCACTGTGCAATGATCACAGACCACTGCTGGCCAACAGAAGTGGACCTGTAGCACGGCAACACTGCCCCGATATTGCAGCACCCACCTACCCAGTGTTGGTTACCAGCACCACAGACTGCAGGAGCACACTCTGGTTTGGAGCAGCACTCTCTGCTTGAGCAGACAGTAAGATAATGCTTTTAGATTTGTATTTCCCCACTTAGAAGGAAAACAGCTCACTGAGCTTTTTGAATGTGAGCTCACAGTAAGAAAACATTGAAGCAAAGCCTACGGAGCTTGGACTCACGTAATGAGTGCTAAAATGAGATGTAGGTTTGTTTAAAGAGCATAAGCCCCAGCTACTCACCCAAGCATCTGAAAATTAAGCTCTTCTTATTTAGAAGCTTAATTTGGGTGCCAAAGGTTGATTCCCCCCCCCCTCCCCCCCCCCCGCCCCAGCCTGTGTCACTTTCAAAGCCAAACCAGAATTATGCAAAGGTAATCCAGCAGCACTCAATGTCATGTGATGGATCCACACATGCATTTGATCCAGAAGCAGTGTCCCACCAGTTGGCCAAAGGCCTTCCAGGTGCCAGATTTAACTCAGAGATGTTCGCTCCTCCTCTTGTAAGGTTGCTCTGCAGCAAGAACCATCAGCAGTGCACCATGATCCCATAGGAACCTGCTCACACTCTGATTCCCAGCCCAGCCATGGTGGAACCAGACTCCCATGGGACAACAAGGCAAGAACACGTCAGGGTCCCCAGCACCCCAGCGGTGGACCAGAGTTGGGTACAGCAACCCAGACCTCACAATGAGAGAAAGCAGAGGAGCAGGAAGGGAGACGGAGCAACATCCAACTGCCACTAGATGCGGCTGCATAAAGGTTTGTACTATTTTTGTGTGCATGTTTCAACATTTGGCATGTTTACAGCTTGCTTTCCCACCTTGGACTGGTTAGGAATAACAGCCAGCAGTCTGCAAAGCACGCAGAAAGTAGACAGAATGTAACAAGTAAGAGATGAGAATGCTCTGAACAGGGAGCCTGACTGCAGGCAGCTCACACCAAGAGGAATTTCTCCACCTGCCCCACCAACACATCCCCATCCTCAGCTCAGTCAGTGCTCCTCAGCCATCATGGTGGCAGGAAGTAATTAATGAAGAAACTCAAGGGTCCCACGGTGACCTCCTGGAGATGCTCCAGCTCTGAGTGGTGCACTGGGATAGGGGCTGCAACCCCCAGAGTCCCCATCCCACCCCACCAACCCCCAGAACCTCATGAGAGCAGCACAACAAAGTCACAGCACTGCCGCAGAGCCAAGCTGTGCACACAGGAAAAGCAAAGCACCACAGACACCAAAGCTCCTTCAACCACACACGGAGCATGGGGGTCCTACCTGCTCCCCCACCCCATCCAACGTGTCATTAAAGTGATTGGGACCAATTCCAACCCATTGCTCTTGATGTAAAGCTGGTAACGGCAGTGGGACACAGGTCGATCCTGGATTAGGTCTCCATGCAGGATGGCAGCTGGTGAGGATGTTCCAGGAGTTGGGCTCAGTGATTCTTATGGGTTTCTTCCAACTCAGGATATAATATGGCTTTATGAGTAGCACAAGTCCCGGTGCAGGGCCCTGCTTCTGCCCTGACACCACACAAGAAGGCTGCAGCTTTTCAAGCTCAGAGATCTGGTGTAAACTGACCTCTCAGAGCTTGCTTGCCCCAGTAGACACACATTTATAATTGAGCAGGTGAAGCCAGGCAGGCAGCACACATCGGGCAAAGCTATCGGGTTTTGTCCCTCTGAAACACACATTCTGAAAGCCATTTCTCAAAACCCAGCTGTGGCTGCCTGCTGCCAAAACCAGGGCAGGGCAGACAGGGACTGCATTCACCCACTCACCTACTGAGGTCCCAACAGCCCCGTGGCAATGGTGCGAGACAAGCAGACTGAAAAAGCTGCACGATTATTCGCCAAGGTGATGGTTTACCTGAAGTATTTATGTCTCTGTTCACTCTGAAGCCTACAGATGACACAGCTGCAAACATAGCCCCCCTCTTCCCAGTGATGTTGTTGGGCGTACACACAAAGCAGAGGTGGGAAGGGTTGATGGAACACCTCAGCTTTGGGAAGGAAGGCTTAGGGAAGGCTTTCAGACCCATCTGACACCAGACACAGCGGGGAGCAGGGATGAGGACGACACGGAGGCCGAGGGCAGGGGAAGCAGAGCGGGGCAGCAGGACGTACCGCTGGGGCTTCCTGCTCCGCTGCTGGCACCCGGCCCGGGGGATGACACGACTGTACGGTAGGTGGGCGGCGGAGGGGGCGGCGGGGTGGCTCTTTGTCCCAGCCCAAATTCCTTGGGTGAGGCGACCGCTGGCTCCGTGTTCTCCTCTTTTGCGTAGGGCTGCTCCAAAGCCTTCTTCTGCAGCTCGTCCAGGCGCAGCGGGGAGGGCAGGGCACGGGGCGGCTCGGCCCCCGGGCTGCCCACTGCCACCGGGGGGGATGCTGCTGGCTCCCGGGGCCTCGGCACCGCCGTCGTGTTTTCCGGGGATGGATCGGAAAAATTGACCCACTTGTTTTCCGCGTGAGCAGCCACAGACTTGGGGGATAGCACGGGGCCAAAAATGCTGTCCAAGTCATTGATTGATGGTGGTTTGTCACTTTTGGCCTCCGTGGCTGGCTGGTCACCTCCTGCGGTCAAAGCAGTGGGTTTAAGCTTAGCATTAAGAGGGCTGCGGTGGCGTGGGGCTCGGCGCCAGCTGCTTTCTAGAGGGATGCTCAAAGCACGTTGCCAAGCACGTGGCTCACGGCTGCTGGGGGACATCATTCCCAAAGCACACTTGGTTGAAATACATACACTGCACAGGAGAGCATGCAGCCGCCCAGCCCCATGGGTTGCCTCATACAAGGCACTCCTTTCCACGCACCATTTACAGCTGGCACACAGCCTTCATTATGTCACAGCTAAATAGCATCATTATCATCACCAGGAATTATTAGTTAGCTATTAGACTCGCACAGTAAGCACAGCAAACTGAAGCTCTCTTACACACTCCTCTCATATATATATTTATACACACATAAATATAAATATATACATTTACACATGCTGGTTTGACGCTCCCACTGGCGAAGAGCATGCAGTACAGGACAGCACACAGGGTGTATGTATTTCAGCTGCAGCCGGCAGCAGATGAAGCTCTGGCGGCTCTCCGCTTGCTCTCTGAGCTGCCACCACCACCACACATTGCTGTTAATCTCTGACAACACCTGGCTGCAAGGCTCCATCACACACCCCAGCACAGCGCAATGCCCGCACTCCTGTCCCAGCTCAGTTTGCTGCTTTGCTCACTGTTTGCAGCTCAGGGACATGGAGCGAGGCTGCATTTTGCACACATGCTGTGCAGGAGTATGTCTGACCTCACACAGCACAGCCTGGAGGAGCAGGAACTGCAATCTCTTCCTATAAGCAGCACCGTCTATTGCATGCTTATAAAGCACTGGATTTACTCCAGCTGCATGCCAGTGCCTCACTCAGCTTTCCTTCACTCACTGTGCAGCATACATGCCTCTCCCTGCTCACAACCTGGGAGGGCACAGCGGGCAGGAACAGCCCAAGCCCACTGTTCTGTAGGCCCAGAAGCAGAGTGGGAGAGAGGCAGCAGAGCTATTTATTGCCAGTGCAGAGCAGGATTTAAGGCTGGCTTTATATTTTGCTCCCAGAAGTGACTGACACCAGCAGCATGGGGAGAAGAGAGCAGCAACCGAGCCAGAGCAACACCAGCTCAGGACCAGCAACGTCTTTGCAGCATCGCCCTGAACGCGACATCTGCCGAAAAAACACGGACGCAACACAGGACACACAGGGACCAAATTCACATCTGAAACGCAGCCGTTGCATGGGATGCCCTGGGGGAGCCAACCCCACAGGTCCGGATCCGGCCGCACTACGTCACGTGCGAGGAGCTGTGCGCCTGGCCTTTACCTGGTGCCACTGTCAGGGGTGATGCGGTGCGGGGCGGCGTGGCCGGGACGTTCTTGGGAGGCAGTGGTGGCGGAGCTGCGAGGGAAAGAGAGGAGAGCATAGAATGATTTGGGTTGGAAAAGACCTCTAAGCTCCCCGGCCCACCCTTCTATGGCCACATCCCTCAGTGCCACATTCCCACAGCTCTGGAACACCCCCAGGGATGGGGATCCCCAACCTCCGGGCAGCTGTGCAGTGCTGAGCGCTCTCTGGGAGAAGAGATTTCTCCCTGTATCCAACCTGACCCTCCCTTGGCTCAGTGTGCTATGGGGACCAGCTCTGTGCCCAGCTGAATGCAGGGCACTCAAGGAAGGTGGAAGAACATGATCTCTATGAATGGTTTGCACTGCTTTCCTACTGCTCCCTCTGCACAACACTGGGCTGTTCTTCCAACACTATCTAGAGCCAGCAGCAACAAAAGAAGGTTTGGGTTCATGTATGTATACACATGTTTGTTTTTTTGCCAACTTACTTCCAATTGGAAAAGGTCTCTGCAGCTTTGGGGACTCAGTGCTGTTGGGCTGGAAGGAGCCCCAGATCTCAGGCTGGTCCAGAGGAGCTGGGAAAAGAAAGCAAATAAATACGAATGCAATGGAGATGATAAAGCTTTTTTCCTGCAAATAGCAGAAGGAGCAGTTAAGGTGTGCTCATCTAAAGCTTGCAAGGAGAGGAAACTAAACACTGATGGCAACCCCTCGCTAATTAAAGGCATTTATTTTCCTATAATGTTAGATAACTACAGGGCTGCCTGCTTTTTAAACAGGACATGCAATTAATTTGACACTCACGATGCTTGACAAATAAAACAATGCCAATTTGTGTCTTTGGAGGCTTATTGCATTAAGTGAAACACTGAATTAATTACTGAAATCCTCTGGAATTTGAGGATACACAGAAAATAACCCAGGTATTAAACAAATAAACCCAACTGCATTTACGCAGATGGGGAACAAAAACCCAACAACTCCTCTATATCACATTTAAGCATCTCACACTGTTTTTCTTAGGCTATACATGCAGAGCCACACGTAGGGACAGCTTTGCTCCAAGATTTAAGCAGAGCTGTTCTTTATGAGGGATGGGTGCAGACCCCAACACACCGTCCAGCTTCTGCTCCTCAAATGCTGACTCCAGCGGGGGCCCAAAGAGCGGTGCCAGTGTGGCTGGGTCCTCCAGGGGCTTCCTGCTGTGGGACAGAGGCACACAACATTCACAATGTGCTGTGAGAAGCTGTGCTTGAGCATAAACCTGTACTTGCAGGGAGCTGGTGTGGTTTAGACTCTCGGCATGCACGTAATTGTGTGCTAAGGTGCTTCAAGTCACATCTGGATGACAACCTAATGGTAGCCATAGTGGAGAGCTCTACTGATGGACTCCACGGAGCTCTGAGGCCTTTGTGCTGGCTGATGCCCAAGGGAGCTTTTGCAGATGTATGGTGTGTACTCACATGTATCCCCCAGACTGACCTGCTGGGTTCTGGCGTGGGTGTGGAGCGCCGGGGCCGTGCGATCTCCTCACCTGTGCAAGGTCAGACAGAGCAAAGTTAGAGCTGTGCCCCCAACCCCGCATCGCCCCCCACATCCCATCCTAAGCCCACTATAGAGGTGCAGGCAGAGAAAAGCCTGGGCTTAATTCAGCTCTTGTCACTACAGTAGATGGCTGTGCTTCTGCTACAGGGCACCCCGGGGATGTCCATATGGCCTTCCCTAAGGGGACACTTGGGTGCCATCATTTCTGCCACAGCAAACCTGCCCTCCCCCTCTCCCCCCTTCCCTTTATTAAATTAATTTTAAAGGCCACCACCGCCAAGCTGTCTGCACTAATTACTTAGGACATACTTACTGGATAAATTCCTCTTAATCATCCCCTGGAATTACAAACACAGGAGGTCAGCGGGGTGTGCAGGGACACAGGCACGTCACGATCAGCACCCGCAGCAGCAGCACAGCACACAGGGCAGAAATTGGCTGAGAGTTACTGTGTGGGGCTGAGAGATGCCCACCCGCACGTATGTGCTAGGAAATCCCAGTGCTCCCAGCAAGCAGGGAGCAGACAGAGCCTAGCAAGAAGACTTTGTGCCCCATAAACCCATCACCTGGCAGCTCCAGGTTCACAGCTGCCTTGGCACACAGCTGACAGCTGTCACTCCAACCCGATGGGCACCCATTGGAGGCAGCATGAAAACAAAATCCTCACCTCCGATGGGCTGGGGACTGATCTATGCCAAATAATGCGTGGTCAGCAACCTAAAGCCCCGCTCTCGCCACACAACATGCAGTAAAAGCCCCCTCACGTCCCCCTCCAGAGCATTGCAACATCACTGCTTGCACAAACACATGGCCAAAGGCAGCAAGGAAGGGTGCAAGGAAGTAGCTTACCGGGCTGCGCCGCTGCGGTCAGCGAGAAGGGAGAGAGAACAGACACCTGGTCAGAGAGGGATGCGTCAGCACCAGTGTGGCACCGTGCCTGAACTGGCATCCCAGGGACAGGGAGCATCCCTGCTTGGGAACTCAGGCTTGGGGCCCTTGGGATGCTCTTCCCCCAGTTCTTCAAGCAGCTCCATGCTGATGCATGGCCATCTCTGACTGCAACGAGGGTGGTGCATGCAGAGCTGCCCTCAGGGTGTTTTGGGGTTCCTCTGTGCTGCAGTGCTGGTAGGCACAGACCCCAGAAGCCAGGCACACAGCACGTCTCACACCTGCCCTTCTGATGCTCTCAGGGATGAATATTTTGGCATCTAAACCCCTTAGATCCTGATGCCCTGGGTCAGCTCCTGCAGTGGAGCACAAGTGGAGCCCAGCACCCCTGGACAGAGGAAATTTGCCCATTTTGGGCTCAGAATGGCCTCACACCAAGTCCTTATGAGGACAACACCACAGCTGCACGCAGTAGCATTGTGGTCACAAAACACAGATGCACTTTCCTGCCTAACACTACATGCTGGTGCACAAGGATGCGTGTAAAACTTGCTCAGGGAAAGTTGCACCCTTGCACATCTCATCCAACACCAGCCACAGCCTTACCACAGAGCACAAGGACTACACACATCTCCAGGAAACACAACCAGGCTCTTATCCATAGAATCACATAGCTGTTTGAGATGGAGACCTTTGAAGGCCATCTGGTCCCACTCCCCACAATGAACAGGGACACCCACAGCTCCAGAGTCCCATCTCTGACCTTGGGTGTCTGCAGGGATGGGGCACAACTGCCTCTCTGGACTCCCTGCTCCACCCACCAAGTTAAACCCAAGGGTGAAAGATAGCAAGGAACATCACGCCTTCCAGAACTGTCAGATTTGTTATTTGTCTTTACATTCTACTTCCAGAGACATGCAGAACAGGTGCCAGGAAAGCAGAGAACACAAATCAAGACTGTATTAAAAGTTTGTAAGCAAAAAAAAAATATATATATATATTTCTTACCGGACTTTTCCTCTAAAAGAATGCAGAAAAATAAAAAAAAATAAAAAGAGAAAATAAGATATTTTCTGCAAGGGGCTAACACAGAACTAAAAGGTTTGCATCTATGAACAGAAGGCATCAGCTTCTCCCAGAACCTTTCTGTAAGCTTAGTGACGTTGCAATAATTTGGGAAAGAGAAATAAAAATGGGGATTTTATTTCACCTTGGTTTCTATTTGAGGTTGATTCACACTTCAGATAAGGGCTGAGGATCAACTCTGAGCAGCTTCAGCTGCAGAGACTCTGTAGCCCACTCCAAAGCCCATAGGAAAAGCAAAACTCGCAGATCTGTTCCCAGCAGAACAGACTGGGATGTGATAACAATCTCAACAAGCCTTAGGAAAACCAGTGGGTAGCAGCATCCATACCAGGGAGCAGACATGGCTGTTCCCTTCAGACAGCCCTGGGAAGAAGCATCCTACAGCAGCACTACGGAGAACCCACAGATGTCCCCCAGCTTAAGAAATGTGACGAAACCCCATGGCTGCTTTCTATGGATACAGCTGGTGAGGACCCAGAGCCAAGATTCCCCATTCACACCCAGGGGAAGGGACTGCCCAGGCAAGCAAACAACAGAGCTGGGGACAGAGATAACTCACCACAGGGGATGGAGAAAGTGCAATGTTGCCTACAGATGCCTTCAGCTCATCCACCGTAGCTGCGCTCTTCAGGATATCCTTAGCCTGCAGTGGTTTGATCTTGATATTGTACTTCTTGTGGGCCTCCTCCTCCTCCTCAGACTCACTGGAGGAGTAGAAGTGCTTCCCTTTGGTGGGTGCAGAGCAGCTAAGGAAGCTTGCTTGGAGGATCAGGAGCGCCCACCAGCTCAGCAATGGGTCAAAAACTTGCATCTCGCTGATAAATGGGAATTAAGCATTTCTGAAGCACTCACCCTTGACCTGAATGGCACGAGCAGCTGCAGGGACAAGCCCTCCTGCACTACCCATGGAAATGGGTAAGAAGACTGCTCTGCTGCAGCCCAGCAAGGTCTGCATTGATGCGCAGCCATCCTCCCTCAGCTCTGATGGGGACAAAGCCTTCCATCAGCAGAAGGTGGAACCCTGTTGTTCACTTGCCCTTCTACAGCTGTAAGCAGGATGCTATTAGCCCCAAGGTTGGCACGTGTGCAGTATCCACAGGCTGCACCCTTGTTTCCTCACCCCTTATGGAGATGCATTATAGACCTGTAGATCACAACCCAAGCAGAGTGCATCAGATTGCACAGGAAAGCCAGTGCCCAGTACTGTGCTCCTGCTCAAGCCATAGCATGGATCAGAGGCAATTAAACATGCCTCCTGTTCCACAGCCATAGATAACACTCTCTGGGAGCTGGTTTGGGCTGCAGAGTAACAGCTCAAAGGAGAATAAAAGGGGGAAAAAAAACAAAAAAAACCACCAAGAAAACCACATAAAAGCCAGTGGCCTTTCTGTGAACCCCAGCTCATCTTAGAGGTCGTAAGCCAAGAGGCCAAGTCCACAACAAAGGATATAGCCTGGCTCCTCAGGTCGGATGCTGTAGCCCTCCTCATCAAGCTCTGGGGAATTCTGCATGGGGCACAAAACATGAAGGATCAACACTGCTGCTGTTTTTGTTGTTGCTGTCACAATACTAAATTTGTTTCTGCAACACCCAATTGCAAGCCACGTTTGTCTTTGGTTGTCCTCAATGTCCTTGAGGCACTGGGCAGTTCTTTCCTCACCTACAGAGTGCAGAATGGTCCTTCACTTGGTCACCTGGTTTCTGGATCATTTTATAAGCCTGCCTTCTGGATCAGTTCTCAATTTATTGATGCCACATAAAATCATGAAGTTTGGAGAGGTACACAACAATCATCTAGTCCCCCCATGCCCACTAAACCATGTCCTTTGGTATCCTTTCCTTTAAAAGAGATCCAGAATACACATTGGAGAAGGATTAATTTCCTTGCACGCCTGTAATAATGTCTCTGAAATCATTTTTATTCAGTATGCCTCAGCTTTGAAGCAGAGAGTGCATTTGGGGGACATGGCTCACAAAGGAGCATTGCCCAGGGCAGGGGCAGAGCCCTCAGACACTTACATATCTGTCCCAGTCGATCTCTGCATAAAATCCATTTGGGGCCCCATTCGTTTTCTTCTGTAACACATGGGAAAACAAGATTTCAACACTTAAAATGAAGGAAAAAAAATAGGAGAACATTGCATATACGCAGGTGTTTGTGAATCTGTGTAGTGAGGCTCTACCACATAAGCTGAGCAAAGGTTCACGGGCTCTCTTTAAACCAACCCTTGGGTTTAAGTTCCCTGAAAGATGTCATTTCTCAAGGGCAGGGAGCACTGGCAGATGGCTCTGTGCTTCTACCCAGGTTGAGTTTGTTGTTCTCCATCACAGGCAGCCAGGCCACTGCCATTCTGGGGGCCAGGATGCAAGCTGATCCCCAGACAGCCATTGCTCACCAGAATCACAGCTGTGCCAGCCCCATGCTCCCATAATGGCCACAGAGACCTGGAGTCAAGCATCAAAATGATGACCAAACACCACTATAGAGTTTTTCTATAAATGGGCCTTGCCCAGGGCTGGTGAGGCTCAGGGTGATCAACAGCATGTACCAAGTCCTGGGTGTCTGATGGAGAGTAAAGCCAGAATACAGTCAAGTACAACATTGTCCTTCACTTCTGAGCTTGGGGTCATCACCAAATTGCTGTTACACAGAGGTGACTGCCAGCAGCAATGCATCCCAACAGCGGTGGCACTGACATGATCCAGCAATTCTGTGGCCCAGGTATTGGTCTGACTCAACCTAACCCACATTTTCCTGCAGTCTGGATCTCTAAACAAGAACTACATTCTGTTCTCATTTGTAGCTGTAACCAAGCATTTCCTTACTGAGTTATTTTTTCCTTGCTCCTGTGTGCCCTCACGTTTGCTATGGCAAGGTGGCTCATTGAGATGAGGGCTGAGAGGCTGGAATGGATTGGGGTTGGGCGGAAAGAGGGTTAACATGTTGGGCAGTTGGCTGGTTTTAAACAGAAGAACAAATGAAAGGAATCAGCAAACACTGTGGGGTCTATAAGGAGGGGATGACTCCCCAGAAGGGCTGTATTCAGCAGTGAGGTTGGCCCCAGGGCTATCATCCCTACCACAATATGGCTTTCTGCAAGAACATGCTATACGATGAAAACTGAAATCTCTTCATCCTCCAATGCCTGTTTCAAAATACTCAGTGCTCTCATCACATGTTAAAAAAAAAAGAAAGTAAAGAAACTGCTCTCCTGCTTCCTCCAGCTTACTGGAGCACTGGAAACCATGCAAGAAAGCAAACTGCCTGCAAAACCCAAAATACACATCTTATGGAGAAAGCATCAGCTGCTGGCAAGGGTTGGAAGTGGTGTTTAGGTTTCCAGCTCAGACATCTTGCCTCCAGCCCCATCTGAACACAGTGCTACCATCAGCCATGCCCAAGGAGCTGTCAGCTGGGTTTTCACTGTCCAAAACTACATTTGGCATTGCTCAATGCAGCAGCTTTATTCACTACAGATTTCTGCACGTCACAAAACTCCATTTCATCACGTTTTCTGGGATTTTGTTTAACTGCTGAACAAAGCCTTGATTAAAGCACTACCTGAGCTGCAGGCTTCTTAATCACTAATTAACAACCAGTAACAAATGGCAGAGGAATGTGGGTGATTCCAAAGCCAAGGATCTTGGGTCAGATGCAGGAAACAAGATGGCACATCTCTAAAGGAGCAATGTGGCACCCTGATGTCTGCATGATGCCACGCTGCACAGCGATGCCATGTGTCCCTGGCACTGGGCTGGGCATGCAGTGCTGCTCTCCTGCTGAATGTATCCCTAGGGCTTATTTTAAGCCTCTAATGCCTGAATCCACACAGTCCCAGTCTGAGCCCAACATACTTAACTGTAAATTGGAAATGAAGCAGCTAAAGTGGCTCCTTCCACTGCCTGGTTCTAAGGGGCGTTCCTATCCCTAACCAAGAAAAGCAGCAGCATCTTGAGAACAGCTATCGTCTTCGTTTCAGTTTAATATAGAAAACAAACTGATGTAAGAAACAGGTGTGTGGCGATTTGCCATTAACCCCAACCACAGAAAATCTGCCCTGAGCCGATTGTGCTCAGCAGGAGCTGGAATCTCCAAGCACCTGAGCCGCCACAGGAGGTACGCAGCACCTGCTGCCTATTTTCACCGTGTCAATTTTGTACAGAGTCCTAAACTATTATTATTTAAACAGCTTCATCTGGACTTGGACACTTATTTGCTATGTTAAGAAGGAAGTGGTTCACAAAATAAGCTCCCATGATGGCCAACGAAGCTGCTAACGCGGAGCAGCGCTGCGCAGTACTTACGATGCCGTCCCTGTCCGGTGACCCCCTGCAAGGAACAGAAAACGCACCTGGGTTAGCTCCAGCACAGCCCCACTTGAGGAAATGCAGAAATGGTGCTCTGAATGCTCCTGCAGCAACTGGAGCTGTCATTACAGCATTGCCAGCAAAGCCAAATTGCTGGTGTGCTCCTCAGAAACCCCGCACAGTGCGCTCTCGTGTTGTAGGACAGCACACACATCAGTACTCCGAGTGCTTCTGTGCTGCAGAAGTTGGTAGAAGCTGCAAATGAGTAATTCAGACTCCATGCAGCAAGACTGTTCCCTGCCAGAAGTATCACTGCTTCATTTTTGGGTGGGTTTTTTAAGCAGGTGGAGCTGAAAATCCCCCATCATCCCCACGTCTGGGAGCTTTGGCCCCAGGGCACAGCAAGTAGCCTCACAAGGCAACACTGGACCGAGTGTCAGCAAGGGGCAGCTTAGCAAAGGGATGGATGTGTTTGTTGGATCCAGGCTGGCCCCTTGTTGGTGTGTTGCCAGAGATTCTCCACAAATTAATGTCTGACTCATGGCACCACAGAAAATCTGAAGGGAGCTGCTGCTGGGTTGGGCTAATTTGATGGAGATTAATGCCTTTTTGTCAAACTTCCCCATAACGCTCATGTGTGCTCCTCTCTCACCTCAGGGTTCATCTCCCACTTCCCTCACTACAGCCTTCCCCTCTGCTGGCTGTGACCCAACCTCCTCCAGATGTGGCCCAGGGACCCAAAGTCCCTCCAGCAATGAAGCTGAGCTCCATGCCACCACTGCTCACCAAAGGCCCTCCTGTTTCAACGGGATTTGTGTCTGACCAGATTCCAGCAGATGTGCGCATCAGTATTTGGGCAGAGTTTAATCTGCTGCAGCTCCCAGAGGGGAACTGGGCTTCTGATCACTGCTCACTGTCACCATGCACAGCAAACACATGCATGTTCCACAGCTCTGCAGAGCACACGTGGCTGCAGGTCTCTGTGTGCATGGGAGGAAATGGCTCTGATGCAGCCATCGCTGTGAGCTGTGACTTGAGGATGACAGATGTCCCCAACACACCCAGCTCCTTCCTGCCATCATTACTTATTAATGCATTTTAGATCTCATTGACTTACGTGGAATCAGTGTCCTTTTCTTTCTTGCGTATACCAAAGGCCTTCCTTGTACGTTTTTTCAGTCCTGCAGGTAGGAGTATAAGAATGCAATATGCATGTTACACTCCAAATTCAACTCCAAGAGGTTGCTTCCCCAGCTGCCAGCTCTAAGTCATAACAAGGTGAAAAGAACCCCCCAGCAGGACAGTGCAGGCAGCACTTGCTCCTGGTTACACCTTGCTATCGTTAAGTGAATGCTCATTAACTT